TAAACATGCGTCAGAGTAAATGTACAAAATATGGTCTGCAAAGACTCTTAAAAGATCTTCTGAGTTGCTTTACATCCTTTTTTATTGTATATTTTAATTAGAAAGATCACATTTAGTTTTCTTCATACCGTTAGAACTTCATGAATCCCACAATGTGCAAAATTAGATAGTGTGTGTTGACCTCGACTGCGCCTTCACCTTTGGTCTTTTTTTTTCAACAAACAAAACACAACCGTCAGAGTGTAAACAACATCGATGGGCACAATAACACACACACACATAGATACAGAGAGACTGGACATTTAAAGGCTGGAGCTGGTCATCACTTTACATAGTAATAGTAATAATCTAACACTTCAGACTTGACAGACACTAAATAAGTCAAATACTCAAACAAACCAACACTTAAAGAGACAGTTCACCCTGAAATGACATTTCAAGAGTTCACACTTAGCTGATGATTGGTAATAAGCTAGTTTGGCATGCTGTCCCGGGAGAGAGCCCTGAGCTCATGAGATCCTCGAGCCCGGGGCTCCCTCCCGTTGCAGGGCGAGAGGGGAGTTTGAGCTCAGGTAGATCTCGATCCTCTCGATTTTATATATATATATATATATATATATATATATATATATATATATATATATATATATATATATATATATATATATTTTTTTTTTTTTTTTTTTATAATTTTTTTTTATGAAATTGCCTTTCTTTGTCAAATAAAAGTATTAGCAGGGTTGCCCAAACGTTTTTATATGAAGGGCCAAAAACCAAATATCATTGAGAGCTGTGGGCTGAAGGTAAATATACCAAACTATATTACATTAAAGTTGCCATCGGTCAATTTCCTAATATTTCAAATTAAATAAAACAAAAATTACTTTAAATCTTAAAAACTAATGCAGTATACATTTTAAAATGAGAACTTAAAAACAAACCATCACATTTATAACACAGCGGAGTTCAATACTGAATACAATGCTCAGCAGAATCTGCCTTGGACTTGATTTACTCACCAAATTCTCTGCATTGTCGGGTGACAGTATGTACATTTAAACACAATCTGATTCATTTACAGCATTTCATTTAAACATTTAATTTCAGTTAGCTTTTTAACTATAAAACAAACAAACAAAGGGTTGCATTTCATTTAAATTGACAATCTCTAAACCATTCCATCATACTCCGTCTCTTCTCAGATGTGATGGTGGGCTAAATCAAAGGTTACCATGGGCAAACTTTTGTCCTCGTTTGGGCATCTCTGGTTAAAAGGGTTCATAGTTTTAAGAATCATTTGTATATTTTGAGGGATGAAAACGAAAACAATGGTTCCAACATATTGCCTGTATTACATTTTTAATTTCTTTGGCTTCCGAGAATAAAAAAAAGAGCCAAATATTGATGAATAATGGTATGATAGCTGTTTTAACATTACATTATGATTGAATTGCCTCATATTACAGTTATGAAATAGTTTTATAGCATGCAGGAAATGTTCATGGGCTAATAGCATGATTACATTGAAATGGTCTATAAATCATATTTGATCTACATTGTCACCATGATCACAACACAAATTGTTCACAAACTTCTGGAACATTTCTTTTGTTATATAAGACAGTTTTATATTAAATATATATTTATTTTTTTATATTGATTATATAGTGCTATATAAAAAAAAAATTGTAAGCAAAGATTTAGTATTAGTAAGACCTTATAGTACCTTATTTCTTTCCAATATTGATTTATTTATTTATTTTTAAGAGGTTAAAATAAATTAATTAGTAAATCTGAAATAAAATCTGAAATCTGAAATACAGATTTCCTTATTTTGTTTTCTGTATTTTTTTTAGGGTTTAAGACTTAAAGGTTTAAATGAAATGTATTCAGCAAAAAGCGGAAATACTTTATTTTGATGGTTCCTATTTTGTATTGCACACTACATGCCAATTTCTTCTCATTTAAGTTAGTAAATGGTCTGCTTAATATCTGCTGATATGCTCCTTCAACAGACATTTAGCTGACTATAAGAAACTTTGCAAACACATCAACTTACACTAACCCTAAGCCCAACCTAACAGTCTACTTATAATCTATTAAGAAATTAGTTGACATGTAGATGCAATTTAACTTAATTACAACAAAATTCGTTAATGGGACCATCAAAATAAAGTGATACCCAAAAAGCTTGTCTAATTAAATAAAACGTGTATATATAATTGAACATTACACAATAACGTTTACACAATTTTACAACTTGCACTGTTGCTTTTTACATTTATTTGAGCATTTTCTGTTCTTATTCTGTTTCATTCCTGTTAAAACACTGAAGAACAACTATGATTATTTCTGCAAGTTTAATCATTATATTTGTATTTTATTTTTCTTAACAATAGAAATATGTCATTTTTTGGTCAATTTATTAAAGATAAACAAACTTTTTTTTTTTTTTTTTTTTGAATGGCTGACAAAGTCACTTGAGTTTCTGTTTCGCACATATGATGGTTTTTCTCACAAAATCAACCAATGCAATAGACTAACATATTAATTAAAAGCATCATGGCTTCATATCTATTATATATAATTGTTTCATTTTTACATAAATGTAGTTTTTACATTGAATGATGCTGGAACATTATTATACCGTTATGTTGACGTTTCTAAAACACTTAAACCACATCCTATACTCTGTATTTAAAATGTCACATTACGTTTAATGCATATTATTTAAAAAAAAAGTGTTATTTTGTTAATTTACTTACAATTTCTGATTGAAAATTATTATTCATTCACCATTTTATTTGTCTAAAACCAACAAATGCTTTCATTTTTTCCCCCACTGTGTTACTTAGTGTATGGCAGGTTTTATAAAGTTAAATCAAACATGTTTGGGTCAGTAAATGTAGACAAAAGCTTCATTTTTGAGTGAACTGTATCTTTAAAAACATGAACATTTGTACTAATGCACTGGACGCATAAATATAAAACAGCATAGCCATAATACATTTTTATCACATAGTAAAACAACGACAAAACAAAGCCTATCTGGGACGATACACTTACAAAAAAAAGAGAGGCTATTGTAATGTTGTTTTGATTATGTACCATTATAATACCATAATGAAGTACCCTATAAATGACCAGGTATATTTGGAATGTTTTAGTACCATGGTTATTTTATCAACCATAATACCTTAACAGTATTACTTGTTTTGTATGTTAACAGTGAAATCGAGTATTGAGAATGACACAAAGCTCCCAGAAGATGAGCCTGAAAATAAAGCCCCATAATCAAGCTTTTTGATTGTGTTTAATTGAGCAAATAACCGGAAAGAGACGTAAACACATTTAGTCTTGGTGGTTTTGGTGCTTCTCAGTTTTAGCGAGTTCAAATTGTGCTAAAATCGAAGACATCCTTTAAAAACACAACGACTGCATGTAACAGTAATCGCCACGGTCCCATATATAGTGGCTCCCACTGCTCTACTGACTCAACACACACTCACACATGTTGGTATTGATGGTTTACATGGACTCTCCATAGGCGTAATGTATTTTGTACTCTGAAAACAGCTTATTATATGGCCCTACACCTAAACCCAACCCTCACAGGAAGCTTGTGGCAAAATGTAAATGTCAAAAGATCTTGTAAAATGGGTTTTGAATTAAGAGGACACCAGGCATGTTCTTGTAAAACAATCTTAGTAGAGTACAACTAAGTCATTTCCATGTCATTGTAAACCACCAAAACCAGTACACAGGCACACAATTATTTATATGGTTTATAAGGACTCTTCTTGGCGTAACATATTTTATACTGTAAAAACAGCTTATTATATTGCCCTACCCCTAAACCCAACCCTTAAAGGAAGCATGTGGCATAATTTGAATGTCAAAAGACCTTGTAAAATGGGTTTTGAATTATAAGGACACCAGGCATGTTCTTGTAAAACAATCTTAGTAGAGTACAAGTCATTTACATGTCATAATACAAAAAACTGTATTTGTAAACCACCAAAACCAGTACACAGACACGCACTTATTTATATGGTTTATGAGGACTCTTCATAGGTGTAATGTAGTTTATACTTTAAAAACAAATTCTTATATGGCCCTACATCCAACCCTCCCAGGAAACACGTGGCATAATTTGAATGTCAAAAGACCTTGTAAACTATCATTTTTAAGTGTTTTGAATTACAAGGATACCAGGCATGTCCTCGTAAACCACCTTAGTAGAGTACAACTAAGTCATTTCCATATCATTATACAAAAAAGGTCCTTATAAACCACCAAAACCAGTACAGACACACACTTATTTATATGGTTTATGAGGACTCTTCATAGGCATGGTGTATTTTATACTGTAAAAACCCTCACAGGAAATATGTGGCATAATTTTAATGTCAAATGACCTTGTGAAGTATAATTTAAGCATTTTGAATTAAAAGGACACAGTAATGTCCTTGTAAACCATCTTAATAGAGTATGAGTAATTGCCATGTCATTATACAAAATACTGTCCTTGTGAACTACCAAAACCAGTAGACATAAACACACTTGTATATATGGTTTACAAAGACTCTCTATAGGCGTAATGTCATTTATTCTGCAAAAGCTGCTTATTATATGGCCCTACCATACCCCTTCCCCTAAACTCAACTCTCGTAACAAACATGGCAATTTTCTTTTCACATCAAAACACCCCATTAAGTATGATTTTTGAGTGTTTTGAATTAAAGACATGTACTCGTAAACCGTATAACTAGGTCATACTTGTTATAATACAATTTGGTCCTCATAAACCACATAAACTGATAAGCACACACACACAGATGATACAGAGGAGACGTGTTACCCAAATAAGCTCTATGTTACACAGCAGCAAAGCCTCGACCGCAGGCGGAATCACAGAATATAAGTCCTGGAGTCCAGGGAGGCGCTGGAGAGCAGGGTTGGTCAGAGTGTTTTGGCAGTGGAGGAGCGCTCTGACCCTC